TGTATGTATGTATGTATGTATGTATGTATGTATGTATATATGTATGTATGTATGTATGTATGTATGTATGTTAGGGTGGTGCACAAATATATTGACAATTTCAAAAGTTTCAAAAATCAATGTGGTACTTTTTCCTATTGTTCCTTTTATCATTATATTAATTCCTGCAAAATTTAAGCAAATTTTAATGACTTTTAGAGGTCGCTCATGGCCATGTTTCCTCTTTTAATTGCCATTATTTTCCTATTCTAACGTTACTGTGAAGTTTTTAATATGTACATTTGTTTATTTATTTTATTATGACATAACTCTTAATTTAATTTAATTTAATTAATTATGATAATTATTTTAATCGATTTTAAATATTTTTTAAATATATTTTTCTAATTTAATAGTGTGCAACTATCTTTGACAATATACCGCAAAGCATTTTAATATTTTTTCATATGAGTGCTGATTTGAGGCTTTAAAAAAATAAATTCATTTTGTGATAACAATTGTTTTACTCAGGTTATATTTTGATTTTCAGAAATATCCTGTAATATGAATTCTCAGTTATCTTTCCCTTCGTTTTCGAAAAAAATTGAAACTCGAACAACTACTGACATTTATCTTGTTGGGTCTGTTTCTCCAAATATTTCTGGGATGAAGCTTCCAACATGTCGTCAAGTTCTTGCAGTATTTTTTCATCTTCACAAAATAGAAAAACAAACCGTTAGACAAAGTGCAAGGTGTGTCATTCGAGAAGTATTTCATTTGTGGAATATGGCAAGAATTCCAACAACTATTGAACGTAATGCAATTGAAAAACTTGAAAATATTTTTTACAAATGGGCTAAAATAAAGAAAAACATGAAACGAGCTTCGGCAACACAAACAGCAAATGAAAATGTTTTTTGTGAAGAAATTGATCGCATTTTTGATATAGCACATGCTGATGCCATGAGTTTGATTACAATTGAAGAAGACAGACTATTTCTAATAGATCAGCGAGGTGAACGTAAGGGATACATGGCCGGAGTTGACATGGCATTGGCAAAAACAGAAGAACGTGTCCAGAAAAGAAAAGAATTAAAAGAGTCCAGACGTTTTCAGGAAAAAAAGCGAAAAAAAGAAGCTGAAAATACAAGTCACATTGATTCAATGCACCTATCTGACAAGTCTACATCTGGCACTGAAACCTCAGATGAAGAATTTATGAAACCAAAGAAATCTAATCAAAATGTTGTAAAAAAGCGATCGCAATCTCAAAATATCATTTCACCTGAGTTAGCATCTGCTCTTGACCAAACCAATGTCACGGATCGCCAAGCGACTTATTTACTGGCAGCTGCAGCAAAAGGTTTAGGTCATGACATTACAGATTTTGCTATTAGTCGCGATACGATCCGGAGAGCTAGAATTACTAATCGAAACAAAATTGCTACAACCATAAAGTTTGCATTTAACTCGTCAAATGTTCCATTGACTGTTCATTTTGATGGCAAAATATTGCCAAATATTACTGGAAAAGATTCAGTTGATCGATTAGCAGTTGTTGTTACAGGTTACAACGTTGACCAGCTTCTTGGCATTCCAAAGTTAACAAGGGGTACTGGTAAAGCAATAAGTGAAGCTGTTATAACAACTTTACTAGATTGGGACATTCAAGACCGAGTTAAAGCAATTAGTTTTGATACAACGGCTGCCAACACTGGTACCGAAGCTGGAGAGTGTACTTTAATTGAAAAAAAGCTTAATAGAGAACTATAACACTTGGCATGCCGTCATCATATGTATGAAATCGCCTTGAGTGATGTTTTTAAGCATTCTCTTGGGCAATCCAGTGGTCCTGAAATAGGATTATTTAAACATTTTCGTGACAAGTGGTCATTAATTGACAAAAATAATTATGAAACAGCGTTAAATGATCAAACATGTTCGGACATTTCGGCTTCTCACACCATACTCAAACAGGATGCACTATTTTATTTGAAAACAATTCTTGAATCTGGTAAACAATATCAAGATGACTACAAGGAATTGTTGGAACTAACCTTGTTGTTTCTTGGTGATGTTCCTCCTCGTGGGGCTCATGTAATGGCTCCCGGAGCCATACACAGAGGAAGGTGGATGGCCAAAATTTTATATTTAATGAAAATATGGGTGTTCAAAAGGCAGTTCAAATTAACGGCAAAAGAAGAAAAATCACTTCGAGGTATTAGCTTGTTTGCTAGTTTGGTGTACGCCAAATTTTGGATATTATGTACCAATCCAACACTTGCTCCGTCGAATGATCTCACTTTCTTGAAGACTGTTTTTCAACATAAAGCCATTAACAATGGAATTTTTACAGCTGCAGCAACAGCATTTTCGAGGCATTTATGGTATCTAAGTGAAGAAATGGTAGCATTGGCTTTTTTGATAAGGAGATCAGCAAGGAAACAAAAGCAAAAATGGTTTTGGCTCTACAAAATGCTGGAGAGGATGAACCACAGAAAAGAATAAAAATCGATTTAACTTCAATTGAAAATCTGCAAATAGAAAGTTTTGTAACAGAGAATACCTTAAATTTTTTTAACATTTTGGAATTATCAACTACTTTTTTGACAACTGTTGATCCTGACAAGTGGACCGAAAATGAAGAGTTTCAACAGGCAGAAAAAATTGTAAAAAGTCTACGAGTTGTTAATGATACGGTTTAAAGAGGAGTAAAACTAATTCAGGATTTTAATTGTTCAATTACCAAAAATGAAGAACAAAAGCAATTCTTGTTGCAGGTAGTCTCTGAACACAGGTCAAAGTTTCCTCTGCCACAGAAATCTTTGTTGATCGATGGAACCAAGTCATCAAAAAACGATGGAAACTTTTATAGATTACAATAATTTTTTGCAAAGAAGCTGAAATATAAATGAAACCTAAAACTCTAACAATTTTTAAGATTTTTTGGAACTATTATTGTTTTTTAAATTTGTCTTTACTATAGTGAACACAAATGCGTTATTATAAACCAGAAGTTTATTACTTTATTCTTCAATTATTTTATTTGTAAACAATAATATATATAATTCAGTTTAAAAAATACTGCATGGTTTTGGATTTTATATACAGTAAGAGTTAAAATGCAATGTTGTATCATAATTTATTCAAAAATTTGGGATTGCACACTAAAAGAGAACTCAAACCCAAAAAGTAAAAAACTTGATGTTGATGAGCAACCTTTAAAAATTATTCAATCATGCCCAAACTTCACGATTGTTATTCCTACACATAATGTCACATAAAGAAATGGTACCATCAAAGAAATTTAAAAAAAAAATTTTTTGCGCCACCCTAATGTATGTATGTATGTATGTATGTATGTATGTATGTATGTATGTATGTATGAATGTATTGATATCTTGACCACAGCTTTTTAAAGAAAATAAATAAAAAATAGTTAAACTAAAAAAAAGAAAACAAATCTAAACTAAAGAAAAAACTAAAAAATGTATGCATAAAAGTTATAAGCTCTAAAAAAGAAATTTCAAATAAATTAAAACTGAAAAAATAATTTGTAGTTATGCTTATAACTTTGAAGCTTTGATCTTTTCTTATATTTTTCTAATATTAAGTAAACTCTTAAAGAAATAACAACTTTTAATGACTATTTAATAAAAAACTTTATTTAAATTATTAAAGAGTATAATATATTATAGTGAGTAAATTATAATAAATAGCATTTTATGTGTGCTCATTTTTTGTACTAATAATAACTATAATTGTTGTTTATCAATAATTGTATAAATTTATTTATTGCCTTTTATTTTTCAAAGTGGAATAATTTAAAGTATAAGGGCATCAATCTAAGTACATATCGTACATGCAGTGGAATGTGCATGCATTGCTATAGTCGTACATGCAGTGGAATGTGCGTGCATTGATCAACTTAAATAGGAATAGGCCCAAGTTTAATTGCACCATAATATTTAAAACTATATTATGTTTTACAGAGAAAACTTGCCTGTCAACAAAACATCAAAATCATTTGCTTAAATTGAATTTGTATTGTCAGGAAATACTTTAAAATAAATTTTCGATTATAAAGTTTGATTCAATGTTTATCTAAGATAGCTTTGATGTATCTCTTTTTGTGCAATTGTATTTTTATTTGAACAGATTTGTTTTGAGTTTTTAAATTTTAATCTAAAGTTTTAAATTATAATTAAGATTGGTTGCTCTTCTTTTGATTGGTTAGGTTGGTTGCTATCTTGATGTTCATAATTATAAGTTAGCTAGAAACAACCTTTACCAAACCTGGTTCATCTCTTTAATGTTATTATGTGCTTGTCTTGCTCTAATTTGTCTGTAAAATGCATTTTCAGTATCATGACTGCGATACTTACTGATTGCTGTTTAAAAATGAATCAGACAATAGAAGGCTCCATAATGATAGCCAGGAATGACCCAAATTTTACCTTTCATGAATAAAATAAGATTATGAGTACAGCTCTCAAAATCCATTCAAGTAAACATAGAAATGTTTGCCTTGGATCAGCTAATCCTTGCATTGTAACTAATTATAGTAGCAATGATAGTATCAGCGATGATGGCTACAGTTTTACCTTTTCTAACTGCATTTATATACGTTTTACATAGTATAAAAACTTTTAATTTGAAAAGTTCTTAGTTTTGAAGTTACTTATTTTAAATTTAAAATTAAATTTGAAATAAGATAGAATCCTTATTCTTTTAAAATAATATTTTATAAATATGAGGTAAACTTTATAGTTTGAGCTCTGATCACCAAATAAAGATGTGTATGTAAAATCTACAGTCTAGCCAGCTGTGGACTTTTAATAATAAAATAATCCTAGCATTATGGTTATAAATAAGATAAAAATAAAAAGTAATAGTAAGCGAATATTATAAAATATATATGTTTAAAGTTACATAGTAATATTAAATTTTTATAATTTTTTATATAAATAATGTAAACTTTTAATTATTGGTATTTACGTTTAATATAATATTTAATGTAGGATATATGAAGAACAAGCAAGGTAAAGAACAGTAAGTTTTTTTAATTTAAGTTTAACTTTTGGTAAAATAAATTATTAAGTTAATAGGTTTATGAAAGTTAAAGATTTTTTAAAATTGAATCCTAAACAATGTTAACTTGAACTCTAAATAACGTTATCCAAACCATAGACAATGTTATTCAGAACCCTTAACAATGTTAACCTGAATCCAAAACAGCATGAACCTGAATCCTGAACAAGGCAAGGGATGAATTAAGTGATCACAAGTTGCAATATCTGGAAATACTTTTGGTCTTCAAATTCTCTGTTTAACCATTCAGTTTAGAAGCTGTGAACACTGTTTTAATGAGAGGATCAATTCATCATATTTGGAAAAATTTATGAAAAAAATTAAACATTAACTTTAGGACTGCAAAAATAATAACAATCAAAACTTACGTAGTTTAATTTACTTGTTTTCTTAAAAACTGATTTGTTCAAGTATTATAAATAAAAAAGTTAACATGGTGCCTGCCAGATCAGAGAAATCAGGAAAAAGTCAGGGAATATAGATGTCTTCAAAAAAATCAGAGGGAAATCATGGAAATGAGGTCAAATTTTAGAAAAATCTGGGGAAAAAATTAAGGTTTTTATTACTTATCTTATTTTAAAAGCTCTTTAATTATGAGTCTTTTTTTTATAACACTTAGTTTAACTCTAAGAAAAGCAGTTATTTTTTTTAGCTTGATTAGTAGCTAGCTTTTAGTATCTAACTAACTAGTAGCTAGCTGTTTGATGTTATTAGTCAGTTGTTTTTATTTTCTTTAGACAAGAACAAGTTTAAGTAAATTAAATAATGAACTTAACATATTTTGATGATCAGTGGTTACAAATGCCATAATATAAAGCTTGGTTAATGTGTGGAGATACAAATACCTCAGCAAAATGTAGAGTTTGTCCACATTCTAGAAATATAATTGAACTGTCTAATATGGGCTAGAGAGCCTTAAAAAGTCATGCAACAGGTACGAAGCATTGTGAATGTTTGTTTTTTCACTTAAAAATGACGCGTATACCATTTATCAATGTATCAAAAAATGTACATGTTGTAACAACCACTTTGTCAGAAAACACATTTCAAGTTTCCATTCTTCAGTCCCATATTGTGTCAGATTCGGTTATTGATGCAGAGATCAGATGGACATTTAAAAATGTTTTGTCATCATTTTCTTTTCAGTCCAGTGATGGATTTTGATTTTGTTTAAATCGATGTTTCCTGACAGTGCAATAGCTGAAAAGTTCTCTCTTTAAAAAAACTCATATTATATAAATTTTGGAATAGCTCCTCATTTTCAATCAGTTCTTATTAGAGATATAGTTAAGTCAGACTTTTATACTGTTTTTTTCAATGAAAGTCTTGACTCAGTTGTTTAAATGGGGCTGATGGATCTTGTTATTAATTATCAAGATAGTGTTTTAAACTGTCTGTACTTGTTACCTAGACCTTCATTAGACATAGTTAAAGTAGAGATCTTTTGCATAATTTTATGTTAAGATCTTTAAGTCAGTGTGGTAATTATTGACAACAATTCTTACCCTAATAAAAACTAACTTTTTTTTAAAAACTATTCATAAAATTTTAGTCTTGAATAGAGTAATAGAAGCATCATTGAAGCAACATAAGCTACTGAAAAGACACCATTGTAGCCACATAAGCTACTGATGGCGGACAGTCTACTGCCCATCATCACATTAAGTTTAAAAAGAAATTCTTAAAAAAATTTAACATCACGCCTCAATTATTTAATTATCAACAAATTATTTTAAATCAATTATCAACAAATTATTTTAAAGGCACTATTTTATTCGAGTATGTGAAGTAAAGCAACTGAAAAGAAGGCTGTTGCCAACCTTCTTTTCAGTAACTTAGGTCCCCAAGTAATAATAAAAGCTAACCTTCTTTTCAGTAACTTAGGTCCCCAAGTAATAATAAAAGCTATTTGCTCCATAATTTGTGGTGCACAGATCTTTTAGTTTATGGTTAACCGGCTTTCCTTGCTCTTAACCGATATCATTTTATAGCATTAAGTTCATCTCTCTTCTCTCCCCTCCCCCTCCCCTCCCCCCCCCCCTCATCCTTCCCTGATACCAAATAAATAATGCGTAATAAATATTTGATCATAAAGGTTTACCACGAAATGGGTGAGTTTTTCGACATCGGTTCGAAAAGAGGCACGATGTTAAATGCTTTTACGCGGGGCTCTGTACCATACAGACTTCTTTGGGGCACTTAAAAAATAATTTCAAAAGTAACAAAAAAATTAAAACTAGGCTTTCCCCCTGACCACATTTAAATGTTTAAATTAGGACCAAAAATCTATTTTTTGTCTAAACGAAAAAATAATGGCAAGGTCAAGGGCCCTTGCCATCGCTGTCCTACTTTTACAAATCCATTTAATTAACTATTTTAGCCCCTACTTGTATAATTGTTAATGCCCCACAGCTAAAACGGCCCATATCTGAATAATTCCGAGTAGTATAACTCAGATGTACCCATCAACTAATGCTTTTTAATAAACTACCTACCTTAAAAATGTTTTAGTAAAATGGCTTTGTTTTTTGAAGAAGTAAATAATATAATTTAAATTTTGCTTACTTACTAAGTAAAATAAGTATTTGAAAGAAAAACTTTACTTTTATTTTTAATAGTAAATCTTTTTTCTTTTCAAATTACTTTTATGTAAGTTGTCTTTGCTAATTAGTTACTTTTACACATGTAAATAATTTATTTTTATGATGTACTTTTATTTTACTTTTTAAAGTAAGTGTTACATTTTTCAAACATTACATTTACATAATGTTATCTCGAAAAAGAACTTTTTTACATATAAAAAGTAAATTATTTTTCAATGTAAGTTTTGCAAATAAGTAAAATCGAAATTAATTTTCAAAGTAAATCACTTTTTAAGGTCTTACCTAAAAAAGTAATTTACTTTTTCAAGAAAAAGTAAACAACTTTTAAAGTAATTTATTTTTACTCATAAAAATAAGTTGCTTTTTCAAGTAACAGTTACGAATTTAAGTAATTAAATTTATGTAATTAAGTTTTACTTGTAATATAGTTTATGTAATAAAAAAAATAATTACTTTTAAATGTAAGTGAATTATATATTTTAATATGAGTTATGTAAGTAATTTACGCTTAAAAGTAAATCACGTTTTTACATCAAAATAAGTAAAAGTGCCATCTATCTTCTAAAAAGTGATTTTGAAAAGCTGCTACTTTCCATGAACATTAGTGGTTTGGAAGTTTCACACTTTTTTTTTTTTTAATTTTTTATTTGCATTCACTCCCAACAAGGCTGCAACCAACCACTATTAAGTTGGGAGTTACTAGAAGAAAAAAGAACAGAGTTATAGAGCAAAGAAACGGTTGACAGAAGACTTGGAAAGTTGAAGGTTGTATGAGTCTGGAAAACATGAAGAAGGGAGAGAGTTCCAAAGGATTGAAGTGCGGGGGGAAAAAACTAAATGAATAAAAGTTTTTAGAGCATGCAGGGACAGATACAGTAAACAAATGAGACTTAGCTGAATGACGAGTAAAACAAGAATGAATTTTAGTTGATGGAACTAGAGATGATAACTCCTTTGAGCAGTGACTATGATAGTATTTCTAGAAAAGAGAAAGAGATGCAACTTTATGACGATGGGAAAGAGGCTCAAGCTTAGAAGATAGTCCAGGTCCAACAACATTTACAATACTTTTTGGACCTTGTCAAGAAGAGAAAGTGAATCGTTAGAAGAACCAGCCCAAATATGACAACACTATTCTATACAGGGATGAATAAGAGATTTGTAGAGGTAGAAAATGGAATCAGAAGTAAGAAAATGGCGAGCACAATAAAGTGAAGCAACCTTAGCAGAAGCTAATTTAGCAATCAATTGTATATATGGTTTCCATGAAAGGTCAGTAGTAAGCGATAATCCAAGAAGACGTAAAGAGGAGGACTCAGTAAGAGGATTGCCATTCATTAATAAAAGAATGTTGACCATATTACGGTAGTTGTTTGCAGTAAACAACTCGGTTTTGTTAGAGGTGAAATTCACAAGCCACTGTGAACCCCAATCTATTACTGGAGTGAAATTGGATTCAAGATCAGCTGCTTGTTCTAGGTGATCGAAAAGAGAAGACATTTTGTCAAGACAGGAGTATAAAGTTGAGTCATCAGCAAAAAGAGCTACTTTAGATAAAAGGTTGTCAGGAAGATTGTTTATGTAGATCAGAAACAAAACAGGGCCCAGGATGAAACCTTGGGGAACCCCAGAAGTTACTGGAAATAAAGAAGTGTGTTGGCCTTCAAGGATGACTTTAATAAACCGGTAAGAAAGAAATGATTTGATAATCTCAAAAACTTTCCCATACACACCATATGAAGCAAGCTTATAGAGAAGACCAGCATACCAAACTTTGTTGAAAGCTTTAGATATGTCGAGAGCAATAGCCCTAGCCTCACTGCCTCCATCTAATGCACGATAAAATCTTTCAGTTACAGCAGTTAGCAAGTCGGCTGTAGAGCGAGAGGATCGAAAACCGTATTTATTGTCTGACAGTAGTTTATTTGACTCAAGATGAGATGTGAGGAATTTGTTGATCAAAGACTCAAAGACCTTGCTAATAACAGAAAGAAGACTGATCGGACGATAATTGGAGGGTTCAGAATTTTTTCCAGAGTTTTTGAATATTGGAACCACAGATGCCATTTTCCAACAAGCAAGAAAACAAGACTCAGTCAAACACTTGTTAAATAGTTTAGAGAGAATTGAAGAAAGTTCTGGAGAACAATTCTGCAAGACTGTGACAGGAATGTTGTCTGGACCACAAGCTGTAGACGAGTTTAATTGAGATATGACTTTAGCAACAGAAGCCGGAGTGATTTGAATGTCTAACAATGGGTCAACCTGTTTGACTGAAATGGAAGGAAGAGAATGTCTATAAGATTCAAGAGTGGAATTAGAAGAAAAGTTCTTTGCAAATAGTTCTGCCTTATCCTTGAGAGAGGTAATAAGATCAGTCCCATGAATGAGAGATGGAATATTAGATCTACCCTTGTTAATTGCTGTTGAAGATTTTCCAAAAGTCTTTAGAGTCTAATTTCTGTGATAAGATGCGAGATTTAGTGAACTGAGAATAATGGAGTTTAGCATCAGAAAGCACCTTTTTACATTGATTTTTTGCAATAATAAATAGCCGTTTGTTCTCCAGAGAGTTGTTCTTTTGAAAAAGATGAAAAAAATGATTACAATTGGATATAGCAGCCGCACAATAAGAAGAAAACCATGGAGTAGAATGAGGCTTGACTTGAAACCTATGGAAGGAATAAAAGCTTCCATTCCAGCCTGAATCCAGGATGTTACGTAGGAGGCGCATTTATCAGCTGAGAGAGAAAAAACATCAGCTCAAGGACCATCACGAAGAAAATCACGAAAAGAATCCCAGTCAGCTTTAGGGTAGTAGTAGGTGGTGCGATGATAAGGTGAGTCCAAAAATGAAGTACGAGAAGAACGGTTTATAGAGATCATTGCATGGTCAGAACCACCTAAGGGAGAAAAGGGAGAAACTGAACATAAGCTAGGGTCAGAGACAAGACATAAGTCAAGGAGTGAAAGTAAATGATTAGGGTTGTCAGGAAAATGAGTCACAAAGTTAACTATCTGAGTAAGAGATTGAGAAATGCAGAAGTTAAAGGCTTTAGTGCCAGCAGGATCAGTGGTGTTAGAGCCAAGCCATTCAGTGTGATATGCAATAAAATCACCAACAACAACAATATTGGCAGAGGGGTAAAGAGAGAGGGCATGGTCAATTTGATCAGAGATAACATCTAAAAGAGTGCAATCATGGGAAGAAGGAGAACGATAAAGAACAAAGAGAAAGGTGATAGAGTGAAGAGGTGCTAGGCGAAAGCACATAAAAGAATGTTCAAAGGATTTGAACCTGATTTCCCGACAAATAGGGGAATTAATGCGCATGTATACCCCCTAAACCTAGCATGTGACTATTGAAGTCTTTACGAATCAAAGGATAGTACCCATCAACACTGACATCTGAAGAAGGAATTGCAGAATTTAAATTTGTTTCACTGAGTGCAAGCAAGTCTGGTGAAATTTGCAGGAGGTAAGACTCAACTGACGGAAAGTTGCTTCGCAGACTGCGAATATTTGTAAAAGATATAATAAAACATTTAGGTGGTGGGGATGGTTTTTTAGGTTTTAAATTTTTGGTTACTTTGGTCATGATTTGGGTTTAATGAGAACTTGACTCATTCATAGATAGAGCACAGCCTCCTATTCAATGAGCTATGCAGTTGTCTTGGTCCTGTTAATTAACCCTAAGCCGTGACATAGGGCTTTTTATGTGGCCTTGACAATGCACACCAAAAGCATTAACAGGAACACCATCCATGCGCAACATGGCACTGTTAATACTCTGATATTTTGCAGGTGTTGATGGAATCAGCCTTTCTGAGAGCTTCTGAGAGTTTGGGAAACCTTACTACCAGCCGGCTTCAGAACCATTAAACTGAGTTTTAGAGCTGTACCCTCATATAGAGATAACAGGAAGAGTTGCATAGCCATTATCAAGGTGGCATAAGCAAAATTCTATGAGTAGAGTCAAGGAGATCGAGCATTCATCATCTTAGGCAGAATACAATGCAACACAGGTTACATCTACACCAGCCTAATAGATGAAGAAGGGGTTCGAGGCTGGTAAGCAGAATTTTTCTGCTTACCCCTAAAGTGTTTGCTTAGGAGGCCTTCTACAAGACAGTAGCTGGATGCAGTTAACATCTGCCCAAGATGAGTATTTTTATCGAGACACCATCTCTAAAACTTGATGTTTTCTTAGCTCACACTTGTGTTTTTCTAGCTCAAAATAATTTAGAGGTTTTCATCATCTTGTGAAAGCTGCAAATGGTGCTGAAAAAGCTCATACGTATATATATATATATATATATATATATATATATATATATATATATATATATATATATATATATATATATATATATATATATACATATATATATATATACATATATATATATATATATACATATATATATATATATATATATATATATATATATATATATATATATATATATATATATATATATATATACATGTATATATACATATATATATATATATATATATATATATATATATATATATATATATATATATATATATATATATATATACATATATATATATATACATATATATATATATACATATATATATATATATATATATATATATATATATATACATGTATATATACATATATATATATATATATATATATATATATATATATATATATATATATATATATATATATATATGTATATATATATATATATATATATATATATATATATATATATATATATATATATATATATATATATATATATATATATATATATTGTAATAGTTTGTCAAAAATAAAAATTGTTTAATTAAGGAAAATAATAATCTCATTGATGAACAGGAAAGCATATAGAAAAGTTAGGGAAAACTCAGGGAACTTAAAGAGTTCAACTCAGGAAAAAATGTTCTTTACTTAGGGAATACTCAGGGTAAACTCAGGGAAAAACTTTAAAAATTATAGTGGCAACCCTGATACATATATATATATATATATATATATATATATATATATATATATATATATATATATATATATATATATATATATATATATATATATATATATATATATATATATACATATATATATGTTACTAGAGTTTTTTAATTTTGTTTTAAAATACATTAATTCCTAATAAATTGAACACTGGTTAACTCAAACTTTTGTTATCTTGAACCTTTTCATTTGAAATTGTTCAATCGTCCCTTGAAATCGTCCAATTGATTACTATTAAAATTCTTAAAACCTAATAACTAGAACTTCATTAAATCATTTTTTTGTCCCTTTTTTTTTGTCCCCTTTTTAGCAAATTTCTTAGGATAACTTGAACTTTTTGTATGGAAATTAAATATATTGACATAATTAAATTTTTATTTAAAAAAAGATATCATTTCATATGAAACATAAATAACTGTAACCTGATAATTTTTTTTTCGGTTGTGTTTAGATCTGAATAGAATAGATTGTTATTGGACATAAAATAATGCCATAATAAAACTGTTAAAAAGTAAATCACCATAAAACCGCTAAAAAAACAATAATTTTATAGTTTATTGAATTTCTAAAGGGCGACTACCTTTTAAAGGTATTTTTATTACCAAATAATAAGGAACTCATTGTGTCGCTAAACCTTTTCATATGTTATTTTTCACTTAATTTTATTATTATAAACTTTTTTTTCGAATTTTTGACTTTTTTATTATTGACTTAACAGGAATTCGCTTTATTCAAACCATTTTCCTTGGTCCCTTAAAGGTTTGAATTATCGGTAATTAACTGTAACTAAGGTGTTTAAATTAGTTTTTTTATGTTTTTAAACACTCTTTAATTTTATATAAATATTTGCACCAGAGAGTTACAAGCATTTGATTGGTTATGTTTGATCTATACAAAAAATATTAAATAAAATTTAAATAAATATAAAATTTAAATAAAAATAAAGTCTCAATTTTTTTAAATTTAAAGTATTTGATCACCGCTAAGTTTTCTTAGACTGTTGTGATTTTTTTCTTAGACTGTTGTGATTTGTTGTGGCAGTTGTTTTGTTTTTAATATTACATTAGACTGTATGGTTTTTCTAGTTTTATCTAATAATTTGTCATATGAATATTGATATTGAAGTTTAATTCATAATTACTAATAATAATAACAATATTAATGATATGGTTTTATAATGAGATTATTTGTCATAACTTCAAGATCAATGTACAAATATTTTTTTTATTAATAACAACTATTGAGTTTAGCAATAAAAAATTTTTACATGTAAAAAACTAAAAATTTAAAGAGCAGAAACATTTTCAGATATTGCGATTTCCAGATATTCGCGATCACTTTTTTTTTTGAATTTTTATTTCAAATCAGTTGATTTAGGGCAACATGGCCATATTTATTGAAACTAAAGAAACTCATTTTTAGCATAACCCAAGTCAAATAAAAGGTCAACCTCTTTTTTAGGGTGATGAGACCAACATTATTAGAATATTTAAGTTACATTTTCAACTTTTCATCTGTAATTTGTGGACCGCCATCAGAATACCAAGACTACTGTGATTTTATAGAAGGAAAAGAGTTCATTAAACACAAGGTTTTTTTTGTTTTGTTTTTAAATGAATTTTCATTGGTTGAAATATATCTTTGATTAAGAAATCAGTTTATTAAATTGAATTTTATTTAAATGATAAATATTTTAATAAAAAAGCATTGTTTGTATTAATAAGGTTTTAACATAAATTTGGTATATTTTATATATTAACATTTACTTTAAGGTTACAATTAATTTTAAAATGTTTGAGATCAAAATATTGTAAAAACTAAAAAATGTTATAATATGCTAAAATATACTAAAACACGTTTCTTAGTTTTTTACATAAGGTTTTTTGTCTAATTTTTTTTATTTAGACTAAGCAAAATGAAAAGGATCCTTCACCTATTGTAAGTTTAAAATATCAATTGTATAGTTTTTAATAAAAGTTTATATTCTATTAAACAGTTGCAATCTTTCCCCCTGATTGTTTGATGAGTTCAAAAATTGCTTTTTAATGAAGTTTAAATTAATGAAAACTTTTGTTTTGTTAAAAAGTTTTTTGTTCGATAGTTTAGGCTGATTAAGGGGCCAAATAAAACTTTATTTATTTATTTTTTTCTAATTTTCTTTTTTTTTTTAATTATTTAAAAAATCACAGTGTAGATGTTATAACATTAGCTTTTATTTAAAATAAAACATAGATGAGGCATCTTCTTAGGGACTTGCCTGTGCTTACCAATATAATGTAATTTTTTAGATTTTTTTTTATAATAAAAATTTCTTATTTGATTAAATAATTTAATAAAAAATTACAAATACTTAAAACTCTGGGATTGTAATCAAGATAATAAAAACTAACTTGCTGGTGTCATTTTTAACCAATCAGAAATCAATACTAACATTTATTAATAAACAATCTTGTTTCTACCCCATAATTTACCCCATAAGTTTTTGTATCAGCAACAACATAGATAGGTACAAAAGTTTGTAATGGCTTTACCCAGTTCCTATCACTGTTATAATTTCTTTTTTGATGTAATGAATTTATATCAATTATAATTTTATGTTTATATATTATATTTTTTATATTTATATTATTATTTTTTATTATACTTATGTTATTATATTTATATTATTACATTTTTATATTTATATTATTATATTTATATTATTATATTATATTTATATTGTTATATTATTATATTGTTATATTATTATATTTTTATTATTATATTTATATTATTATATTTATATTATATTATTTTATGTTTATATTATTACACGAGTTTAATGGTGTAAAGAAAAATTGATAGGAAAAACTGTTTTCCAGGGGTGATAAACAGTGATTTAAAAAGTGTAAACAGAAATTATTTTTTAAATTGCAGTTGCCAGCTTAATAATAAACCTCAAGCTAGAACCTTTTTTTTGCGCTTGTGGTTAAATACTTCTTTTTTTTTTTTTTTCGAATTTTAGATTCCTGCATTATCTAAATTAATACTAGGTTATTTTATGATTGGTATATATGGTTTATTATCAGCAAAGTTTGCTCCTATCCATTTAGGAGGTATATCCTTATATATTGTTATATAGTTATTATTTTATTTATTATTTATATATTTTTTTAACTTTTTTTAAATGAATTTTTAATTAGTTAATTAAGTATAATATTTACAATAAAATATAATGAATGTAACATGTTAGTTATTATGTTTCATTAGATAAGCGCTGGAAAGAGTCAGATTTAATTTCAATGTACATGTTTGCCGAAATGTCCTTATTTCTGACAAAGATAAAATACTATGGAGCTTTCTTTTCAGGTGAATTGTTTTGAAAATTTTAGTTTTTTTACAGCAAATATTATTTTGAATGATTAATTCCATTTTGATTACATATCTTTTATAGCTTTTAACAGAGTTTTTGAGAAATTTTTGAGATAATCAAATCATTTCTTTCTGACCGCCTTATTAAAGTCATCCTCAAAGGTCAACACTTTTCTTCATTTCCAGTAACTTATAGAGTTACTCAAGGTTCTATTGTTGGTCCTGTATTGTTTTTTATCTACATTAATGATCTTCCTGAAAACTTTTCATCTGAAGTGGCTCTATTTCTTGACCAATCAACTTTATACTTGTTGTTATGTTAAGGAAAATAATAAATATGAAAAATATAATAAACAAAGTTCATCCTTTTACTTTATGTGTCCCTGCATGTTCTAAAAACTTTCATTTGTCTAGTTTCTTCCCAGCACTTCAATCTCTTAAAGCTCTCTCTATTTTCAAGTCTTCTGTCAACCATTTCCTTCCTCTTTAATTCTATTCTTTGTTTTTTAGTTTTTAATAACTTAATGTGGTTGCTTGCAGCCAGTGATATTTTCGTACACGAGAACGAAAACGAGAACGAAAAAAAAAGCCTTTCGTTTACGAAAACGAAAACTAAAACGAAATTTATTTTAAGAACGAGAACAGAATAAAAACGATAATTTTAAATTTTCGAACGGAATAAAAACTGAATCGAAAATTATTTTAAAACGAAATATTTTCGTTCTAGATTTGAAACGAGTTGAATTATTTGATATATATAATTATTATATTACAATACATTATAATGATATATTATTCAAACTTAATTGAATTTTATTCAATTAAGTTCGAATAAGTTTAGTTATGATATAGTTCGAATATATTTATTCGAATATATTTTTTCGAACTAAAAAAAATCAAACTGTAAGACCAACACAACTACGCGACAAATCAGTATGTTTAGTTTTACTTCGAACTAAAAAAAATCAAACTGTAAGACCAACACAACATCCGACAAATCAGTATGTTTAGTTTTACTTGATGGTGAAAAAGTATGCAATACAAAGTTGTGTGGAAAGAACCCAACAAATCTTAAAGTTAGTTTATCTGTTAGAGGTTATGTTTTCATTTTGAAACAAACGACTCATTTTTATCATTTTAGAGTAATTATTCAATAACGTATACGAACTTATTTATACATTAATTGATAAACAGATAGATAAATAAACATATAAATATACAAACAAAAAATTATATAAATATGTTTATTTTTTTCTAGCTACATTTAGCAAGAAACCATAAGTCTGTACACGTTGAGCTGGAAGAGTCGGAATTAAAGAAATTAAGTGAAAAAAAGAAAACAGGGATAAAGAGAAAAGCAGTGGATGAAAATGGACCCACTCTTTTAGAATCGTCCTCAAATCAGAACCAGACCTTGATTCAATGCATTAATCGTAGGAATACCGCATGGCCTATTAATTCACACGAGCATAAAATTCGACTAAACTCTCTTATTCAAATGATAATTGCAACATGTAATCCAGTGACATTGGTGGATAATGCGAGTTTTAGAAAGTTAGTTAATACCTTGGATTATAAATTTTCATTGCCTGCTTCTGCCAAAATTACTAGCCTACTTAATGAAGAATTTACTGTTTTAACGAGAAAACTTCGTGACTTCATATCTGAAGGCAGGCGCTTCACAATATGCCTTGATGGCTGGACTAAAAAAGGTCTTACTGCGTCCTTTTTAGGAATTTCGGTTTGTTTTTTTCACTTCAAAACCAATACATGCTCTGCTTAATTTGTATCTTGTGAAACATCCACATACAGGTGAACAAATTGCTAATTGTTTTGAAAAATGCCTAAAATATTGGAATATTTCTAGAGAAAAAATATTGCTTGTTATTTCGGACAATGGAGCAAACATGGTCAAAGGCATAAAGTTGTCGAGAATGAAAGCTCAAGCTGAACGTGATATACTTATTGAATTAGAAAGTGAGGTTAATGAAGAGCAGATAACAGATCTGGAAGACGATGAGAATATGACAAATAGTGAAGAGTGGGAACATGTTGACTTGATAGTTGATGTAATAGAAAACGTAGCATTTAGAAGATTGGGATGCATTGCACATGTTATACAGCTAGTTGTAAAACTTGCATATGATAGTAAATATCATGGCTTACTTTTGAAGGTACGTGGATTAGTGGGAAAAGTTCGCAAATCTTCTGTTGCATTGGAAAAAATTATCAACAAATATGGTAAGACTGTGATCAGCGACTGTTCTACAAGATGGAACAGCACTTACTTTATGGTTCGGAGATTTCTGGAAATAAAGACATCTATCAACGAAGTGCTTGGAGACCTTAACATTGATTCACTTGCCAATAGCGAATGGATAATGCTTCAGGATTTTGTCAATCTTTTAGAACCTTTTGCCAATGAAACTGATATTCTTCAGACGGATGCACTTTCACTATCCAGTGTTATACCTTCAATACTTAATTTAGAATGTCACCTTGAGCAATTTGGAGATGCCAAAGATATAGCAGTTAAAATGCTTGAAGATCTACGCCGTCGTTTTGCCGTTCTTTTGCAGCCAAACGATCCTAATTTTAATCCACTGCCATGTGCCGCATGTCTACTTGACCCCACATGTGCAATAGCTCTTTTAGGTAATGAGCATACACAAATCAGAGAGTGTGCAAAGAAATACATTTTTTCAGAGGCTAAAAAATCGGTGCAACATGATTTACCTTTAGCAAGTGCATCTACTCTTTCTGTTGAGATTGCTCCAGAAATAAATGGATTAACAAAATGGAAATTTTTAGCGGCAAAACAGCGAGTAGAAAAAATAAAGCTTATTCCAGGTAATGAAGCACAAAATGAACTCAACAAATATTTTATTGAAATAAGGAACAGCTCTATGTGCCAAAATGCTTTAAATTTCTGGAAGATGAGACGTGCTGTTTACCCACATATTGCACCATTAGCTGAAGACCTCATTGCAGCTCCTGCAACTCAAGCATATGTTGAAAGACTTTTTTCAATCTGTGGCTTGCTCACAAATGGACGGAGAAATCGAATGTCAGCGTCATTGGAAATGCGAGTTTTCTTAAAACTAAATTCTCATCTAGTCTAGATGATAATCATATAATCACTAGGCCCTTTATTTGTAAAATATATGAGTAATTATTAAAGTCTATACAATAACTATTCATTAGTTTTTATTGTTACCAAATTTGAGGAGTTTTTTTTATACCTAATAATTGAAATATTTTTAAGTTTTAGAGCAATAAGGACAGGTTGTTGTTGTGTTTTTTATTAAGGGCGGTGGGCGGGGCTCTAAACTTCTAGCCATGGGACTGGGTGTATTACATTTAATTAAGTTCTCATTTTTTTGTTTTTTTATAGACTAAGACTTACTTCTTTTAATTATATATGCCTATATTATTTATAAATTATACTAAATTATAATTAGATGAGATAAAAAATTTATACGACAAACGAAAATTGAACTAAATAAAAACTAAAACTAAAATTATTTTAAGATGAACTGAATAAAAACTAGAACTAAATTTATTTACTGAACTGAATAAGAACTAGAACTAAAAACTTTGCCTCTAAACTGAATAAAAACTAAAACTAAAATTATTTTCCGAACAAAAATATCACTGCTTGCAGCCTTGTTGGGAATGAATTAAAAAAATTTTTTAATTTATAATAATTGGAAATTGTATTATAACAAAAAAAACTTTTTTTTTGGTTAAAATCAATATTTTGTTCCTAAATGTTTTAAAAAATATTTTTAACTGTCAATTACATTGAAATATACATTGTTAAGTACATTGAAATATATTGGTTTTTTTTAATTGGAAATTTTTCTTGTTTTTACTTTTACATGCTCATTCTTAAGAAAATAAATATGCAAAAGTTATCAAAATACTTTTATTTTATTTCATTACAATCAATTCATCAGGTAATGAGGTTTTTGGGTCAAAGATTAATTTTTTAGTTAGAAACACCAAAATAAATCAAACACTTGCAAATTAAATATATTTTTTGAAATTTTATATAAATAATTTTCATTTTTAGTGACCCCATTTTATGATTGCTGATTTTTTTCCTGAAATCTTATTACTCTACAGGTGTGAAATTATGCAGAACCAGCTTTCATTTCATACAAAGACCATTAATCTTATGTCATTTTATAAAATATTTAAAAATAATTTATAAAATGAAGTATTTATAAATATATATTTTTTAAATATCTATTTTAAATTCAGTCAAAAGGAACTTTTCATTTATTTTTATGTTTTAACAGGGGAAGCTGTTAATAATGTGGCTGGGCTTGGTTTTCGAGGATATGATGATAACGGAAAACCCTGCTGGGACATGTTAACCCCAGCTCATCCAATACGTCTTGAGGTAGTATTTTAAATAAATTTTTAAATTTTTTTTTTAAATTGGTAATCATTAAAACCAATGTTCAAAGTCATAAATTAAACCAAATATAAAAATACTCTCAGAGTAGTTAATGAAAATTAAAGTGAACAATCTAGAATCTATTGATTATGTCTTGTTTATGTTAATTTAGTTGGCAAAAAATATTACTGAAATGGTTGCATCTTGGAACATATTAACAGCTCGCTGGCTAAAAAAGTAAGCATGTTGTTTGTTCTTTACCCTTATACTTATATCATTATATCCAATACTAATTATGCCAATTATGCCCATTACTAATTATGCTAATTAAACCTAATACTAGTTACACTAATTATGCCCAACACTTTTAGCAGCATGACTATTGAAATTTTATTTTATTTCAAATTATGTTATGAAGTGTCTGGATTTGATATGTTAAAACATGTTTTAGAAATGTCTGAATTCGATATGTTAAAACATGTTTTAGAAATGGAATGTTAAAACATGTTTTAGTTTCACTACACATTTGTTTAAGATTAGTGTGAATCTTTTTTTATTACAAAAATATGAAAATTTGAATTTTAACATTCCTAACTCTATACCTATAAAACTTGGGATATTTCTAGTTTTTGTTGAAATTCTTAAAGTAAGTTAAAGGTTCAAAAATTTACAACATTTAAAAGTGAAAATAGTTCACCTCATTTTAATAAAAAAAAAACATACACATTGCTATTACAAAAACTTACCTGCGGCTAAGTGAGAAAATTTATCTACTGCTATTAATTGACATTTTATCAGCGTATTATTACTAAATATAAAAATGGACATTACTTTGATGGATGATAGGGTTACTTTTATGGATAATGATATTACTCTGATGGATGGTGGAATTACTCTGATGGGTTGTGGTATTGCTTTGATGGATGATGTTATTACTTTGATAAATGATGGTATGATGATGAATTCATATCTGTTTTTGATTACAAAAAGTAAATATAAAATGCTTTTAAAGAAAGTCATCAGTAGTGTATTGTGACAAATTAAATATCTTTAAATATTTTTCAAATATCTTTAGCGTATTTTGACAAACAGATAAATATATTTTGAAATGATATCTTGTAAAGATTTTAAGTACAATAGTAAATTTGTAAACTCTTTTTTTTATTAATTTAGTTTTTCAATATAATAAATAAAAATTATATCTAGAAGTTGAAAATTTGTCATGAGTTATTTTTTCTTTTAGTTAACATAACTATTATTCTAATTTGTATGCAATAATTTTATGCAATAGTTTTATGCAATAGTTTTATGCAATAGTTTTATACAATAATTTTATACAACAGTTTTATGCATTAGTTTTATAAAATAGTTTTATGCAATAGTCCTTAGTTTAGGTTATAAAATGACAAAAACAGATTTTTAACATTTTTAAGTAAATTCTGTGTAAGCCTAATAATAGGGATGTTTTTCAATATTTTTTTTCAATTTGTGTTTTTTTTTTTTTTTTAAGTTTCATGATTTTGTTGTTGAACTTTTTGTAAAGACATTGAAGTCTTATTTTCATATAGTTACTTTTTTATTTGCTAAAAACTCCAACTTAGTTCATTTATATAAAGTAATTTGGTTGACTTTTATGTTACCTGATGTTCTTAAATATCTATATTGTAATGAGTGTCTTTCGTGCTTTTTAATTAATATATTATTATTGTACAAAAAATAAATAAAAACTATAAAATATATAAACTAAAAAAAAAGTTTAACAATCTATTAAAACTCTGAAAATTTGTTAACAAATTAAAGAAGTTTATGTATCCTTTTTGTAACCTTTGCTTAGCTACCCAAGAAATTGCCAAAGTTTAGTAAAATATATATATATATATATATATATATATATATATATATATATATATATATATATATATATATATATATATATATATATATATATATATATATATATATATATATATATATATATATATATATATATATATATATATATATATATATATAAATATATAAACTCAAAGCTTACTTATTTCATGTTATAGCTGCTAAAAGTGTTATAGTGTTAACAAATAAATATTTTTTCAAATAACAGGTGCATTTACAACCGCATATCCTATCATCCAACTTTGTTTACATGGTTTTTTTCTGCACTTTGGCACGGGTTTTATCCAGGCTATTACTTTTTCTTTATCCCGATGTGTATTGGTTTATATATTGGCAGAAAGGTTTGATATTTTATAATAAAATAAGAAACTTAAATTAATAAATATTTTTAATTGTTTCATATTATTTAAAATTAGTTATTTCAAATTCATTTATTAAGTTTACTTTAACATTTATAACTACTTACATATTTTAATGTAAATTGCATTATAATTTTCATATTTTAATCCAAATTGCATTATAATTTGCATATTTTAATGCAAGTTGCATAATCATGAAGTTGAAACTTATGTGTTTTATGTTTTTCAAATTTTCTAACAGAGTTTTATGTTGTAGAGATTTGTAAAGATAAAATTTTATTTAAAGAATGACATATTTTAATATATCTATAACTGAATGTAATAAGTAATCAAATAATACTTAACAAATTTTACATGTTGCTTTTTGAACATGTTTACAGCAGTATTTAAATGATGTCATTATAGTTTTACTTCATTATCATTTAATTATGTAAAGTTTAAAAATAAGATTCCTTCCGAAATTTTTGTTTGAACTTTACAACTTATATGCATTTACTTGGTATTTACTTGCCAATAACAACAACTTATTCAACTGTATTTTGTTTATTATTGTTCACTTTATAACTCTAACTTGTGGTCACTTGTGGTAATGTAAACACTTTTATCAGGTTTTTGTTTAACCTATTACAACGCAACTAAATCATCCATATCGATACCCAGTAGATATATCTATAATATAACAGTTAAAAAAATGTTACAGACATCTGAAATTTTATGTACTATTGTTAGTATTGTGGAATACTTGACAAAATTATGACAAAATTAGCAACCTATTTTAGATTTTGGCATGATAATGCAGCAAATTCAGCATGCTTAAAGAAAGAAAGATAAGTTTATTCAAAAAACGAATTGATAAATTTAAAGTATCATAAGTAACTAAAGTTCTGTATTGTATAAGCTATCTGTTAAAATGACTTTATTACACCCTATTGGCGTATTGTGTGTGTAAAGAGCATTTTGTTTTGATTTTTTTTCAAAGTTCAGACCCAGGTCCTTTAAAATTCTTTTTAATGATCATATTCATCAATTTTATCAAATCTTGATAAAGCTGATTTTTGTTTTCAAAACTTTTTTTGAACTAATTTTTGTTTTCAAAACTCTAATTTTAATTTTGTACTAAAATGAATTACTTTTGATGGATTTTATTTTATAATCTACTGAGTTTGAGATGAAGCTCTAATAATTTATTCAAAATATGAACTTTAAAAATTAGTGAAAAAAATGGTAATGGCAAAACAAAATCATATTAAACTGACTCTCCCTTGTTATTCACACTACTTTATATTTATGACTTTTATAAAAAATAATTGTTACATAATAAACTTGATATTGTACTGAAGAATATGAAAATTATAAAATATGGAAACTGTAAGTTATATTAGTGTACACGCTAACACAACTTACAGTTTCCATATCCTTCACTACACCAACAATTTTCTATATCTTTCAGTATACTGAAGGATATGTAAAGTTGTTAGTGTACTGAAGAATATGGAAATTATAGGCTATGATTTTAAAACAAAAACTTTATATATTGCAATCATACCCAGTACATTTAGCACTAACATTCACTGCATATTGCACTTACATTAACTACATATTCCACACATTCACTACATATTGCAAACACATTCACTACATAGTGAACACTCATTTATTACATATTGCACTCAAATTCACTACATATTTCATATATTCACTACATATTGCACTCACATTTATTATATATTCCACACATTTACTACATATTGCACATATTCACTACATATTGCGCTCAAATTCGCTTCAAATTTTAACTAGTTGTCCTATTTATATAAACTTTGAAAAAAAAAAACTTTTCGTTCAAATATTTCAATTTTAGTTTTATATACGGAAAGTTTTCCTATCTTTTTTTTGTTTGTTTATAAAATTTTCAAGCTTTCTGTTAATGGTCTATTTAATGCGAAAATTAAAAAATCACCGTCTTCAAATCTTTATTATTAAATTTGGTAGTTACTTTATAAATCTAGTAACTAGGTAACCTAATTACTATATACCTTTACTAGTTAATCAAGTATTTGATTAATTTAGCAATTACCATCGGTATCGATGGACAATAAAATTTTTATTTTGATATTTTATAGTTGCGTCGCAGAGTAAGACCTTATATTTGCAAGTTCACAAAGTTGAATTTATTATACGACATTTTGACGTGGTTTTTATCAAGAGTTTTATTGACGTTTTACTCTGCTGCTTTTACTATGATGGACTTTGAAGCCACGTTACGATTTTGGAGGTAAAAGTTATGTTTGTGGCTATATTATATTGTTAAACTTCTTATCAAATTTATTTAGTTTTAAAAATAATCAATTTGAAGCTTTATCACTATGTTATCATTTTTAGGTTTTTATTCTATATTGGACATTTGTTATTAGCAGCTGGTATATTACTTGTAATTATACTTCCTGAAGCATCTAATAGCGAATCAAAATTGAAGGAGCATATTGAGTTAAACGGCTCTTCTAAAAAAGATTAGAAATAATTCTTTAGTTTGTTTACGTTGTTTATAATTGCTTAGTTGTATATATTTGTTAAACATGTTAATAATGCTTAATTATTTGTTAAACATGTTAATAATGTAATTTGCTAATATTTGTTTGACAGGTTAATCATGAAGTTTCTGAAGTTTAACAAATCAAATTTTAAAAGTTATATTTTTGCAGATTCTTTTATAGTTTGTATTTAAATTGAGAAAATTTAGAACTACGAGGTGTGAAGATATCTATTTATACAAATACAAATAAACCACAGGCTGGAAATTTACCATTGTCTTTGTTACGCTGGCGTAACAGATTTGACGAAGGGTAAATTTCTGGCATAATATTTAAAGTAATTAGAATATTTAAATTGAAAATAAATAAAAAATAATGAAATTTTTTAATCAGACAGTTTTTTTTCAATTTAAATTTTTCGATTAAACTAAATTTATTAATTATTAAATATTTTTCAAATAACTGGATTAAGATGATAGCACACTGTGTTTCTTTTTTCTCTGAATTTTAAAAGTTTAATTTTTATGGATGTTTTTCTTAGAAAATATTATTGAAAGAAAATTAAACTGTGTATTTTTTTCTTACATTCTTTTGTAAAAAATTTCGGTCTTGAACTGTCCTTTTTAATATACTAGCGAAATATTTTAATATAAAGTTTTTTAAATTTTGTTTCTGTAAAGAATAAACCTAGTTTATTTTTTTGTGAATTGATTTCTAGAAAAATTCTAGACCATTTTCAACTACTTTTAAAACTGTATTAGTTGCTATCAATTTCTACTCAAATGCTTGGTTTTTTTTTTTTGTATCAATTTCTACTCAAATGCTTGGTTTTTTTTTTTTTTTTTTTTTTTTTTTTTTTTTTTTTTTGATTTTTTGCAACAGGCAGTATATATTGTGCAGTTGATCTTCATTTTTAGATGCTTTTCAGACAATAATTGTATACTTACATTAGCTTTACGTTTCTTTCAGCACAGTTATTCGTAGTAGAGATATGTTTGACAAATAAACAGAGCTTCGGAAAATTGTTAATATTCTCCCAGGATTTTACTCTGCCGTTAACCCATTGTTCAACTTCCCTCTTTGAAGCACCAACAATTTTAAAAAGATACCAGGATTAAACAGAAGAAAAAATGTTGTTTCAGAATCGAAAATTGGAATATTTGAGGACATTCAATAAGAAAGGTATAAGTAGAAAAACACAGCAAGCTGAATGTTACCAAGAGTGACGTTTTAAACTTTTTGTTAAAACTTATCTTAACTGGTCATCGTAATGCTTTTATATTTTTACGCTATGAAAACAATGAGGTCATTTTTAGGTGCCTTTTAAGACTGAGAGATTTTCAAAAACCATGATGCACAAGAAATGGCGGGTAATAACATTTCCTTTGCGTACGTCAGTTTCTTTTTACACTTTTATTTTTTGTGTACTACATTTTCTTTCTGATATAACTTTATTATCATTTTTTGTCATTTCCAATGTGAGAAAGTAAATTCGGTCTGCCATAAAAAGTGTCTTATGACTAGTTCCAGATTGGTGAAGTTGAAAATGAGTTGCATTTTTACCAAGATAAAAAACGAGCTGACATAAGTTTCTCTAATCACATCTTGTAAAGGTATTTTTGAACGGAGCTTTAAAACAGAAAGAAATCTTTTGCAAGTTTGTATAACACTAAATCAACTACTTTAAGTATAACACTAAATCAACTACTTGTCCTCATATAAGATCACTTTGCAATGACATCGCAAGTAGGGGAAGAATTTTTTTAACGGTGAAAAGGGAAAAAATAGATAAGAGCAAAAGAAAAACGAATAAAAAATTGTTTAGAATAGAAGATTTGAAAAATAAAGTAAAAGAAATAAAGTGAAAACAATTAAAATGAACTTATTAAGATGATTAACAAATCGCTTAAAACAGGTGTTTTTCCAGATAAAATAAAAGTTGCAATTATTACACCCATTTTTAAATCAGGAGATGAAATTCTGATTACAAATTATCGACCTATATCGGTATTACCTGTTTTTTCAAAAATCCTCGAACGTATCATGTATAATAGGGTATTTGTATTTTTGTATGATAACAATCTTCTTTATTATAACCGATATAGTTTTCGATCAATTTACTCTACGGAACATGCACTTATTCAACTTGTTGAAGTTATCAGTGGAGCATCTTCTCATAACAAATTCACCTTAGGTATATTCCTAGACTTGTCAAAAGACACCGTTACCCATTAGATTTTATTAGAGAAACTAAAATATTATGGAATAAGCCTCGAATACCAAAAATAGTTTACTAGTTACTTAACCGATCGAAAGCAGTTTATTTCTCTAAATGATGGCTTTCAGACAAACAAACTTAAAATATCATATTATATTATATATCAAATATCATAAAATATCATATCACAAGGCTCTATCTTAGGTCCGCTGCTGATCTTTATCTATGTCAACGATCTATATAAAGCATCTATTATTGTTTACTATAATGTTTGCAGACGACACCACTTTATTCTATTCTCACAGTAATACTATCTCTCTATTTCAAGTAGCAAATAATGAACTAGAACAAATCGCGACGTTAGAATTATCTTGTTCTATCTCCACTTTCTGAAAAAATTGAGTTAATGATAGTGTTGTGTTCCTTAAAATAATGTCTTTCTACTGAATTGAAATTTAAGTTATAAGTAAAAAAGTTGCGGAAAAAACATAAGTTATAAAAAAAATTTATACGCCGTCTCCTAAAGTTTTTATTTTTTAAATCTTATCAAAATTTTATCTAAAAACTAAAAAATGTGGAGATAATAAAATAATTCTAACGTTGCGAAATATTAAACTGGTTTATCGCTAACAGCCTATCTTTAAACACTGACAAAACTAAGTTTTCCTTATTCCATTCTGTTAGAAAAAATCATGTAAAGAATCTTGATTGACAATAAGTTTGATTATGTTCTTTTTAAATTTTTGAGAGGTATTGGCTTTTTTAAGTTTACCACTCAGGCTTGTAAAATGGTTCCAAAGTATTAGGCCATGATAGGAATTGGCAAAGCTTGTAAATTTTGATGTACGGAAAGGTTTTTTAAATCTTCCGGTAGATTGGGTGTTGTATCGGTTTAATGTTTTAGGGAAAATATTTTCGAAAACCTTCGGCGTTTTTTTTGACTGATGTTGAAACATAAATTGTGTAATTTTGAAAATATTTAGTTCATAAATATTAAGTGCCCTCATCCTTTTTAGAAGAGGTTTAGTATTTGTGAAGCGATTTTGAAAATGAATAATGCGTGCTGCATGGTTCTGTTGTTTAAGGAGTCAGTCGAGATTTATTTGTACAACCCCAAACTATATTGCCATAAGATAAATAACTATTTATGTATGCAAAGTATAGTTGAATTAGTGTAGATTTGTCTAAGCTTTGTTTGGTTTTATATAAAATGCCAATACTTCTAGATTTTATTGCTAATATGTTTAATATGATCTCTCCAGAGTTTTCGTCTATTAAAATACCAAGTAATTTATTTGTGAATGAGCGCTCAATTTTGAGTTTATTTATATCTAGCATTGGTAAGGATTTTAGAATATATTGAAACTTTCGTTTAATACACTTTTATTTTCAATTTTTATTACCAAAGGTTACTGATGATAAGATTTTATCTTCTTCAGGTTCTGCGGTCTCGTAACTATTATAAATAATGAAATGTACTTGTATTTAATATTTTCAAATATTTTATCGGAAATTACCTTTAATTATAAATGGTTGCTTGACAAAAGTAAATAAAAAAAATAATAAAAAATAAAAAAAATAAAATATTAAAGAATAAAAATTGATGAAAAACATTAAATAAACAACTAAATGCAAAGTTAAAAGAATAAAAATATTCGTGAAAATTTGAAAATTCAATACTTTAAGTTATTAAAAGCTACAAAAATAACATTTTTTAAGTTTTATTAATTTATGTTGTATGGACTGTTTATACTGTCGTGTATTTTTATGTATTGTTTAGGAAAAAGTTAATTCTGCAAAACATGTCAAAATCCAATCTAAAATTAACTCTAAAAAAAAACAATGCTTTTATAGAGTTGCCTTTTGAACTTTCTGTAGATTTTGAAATATTTGAGTGATTATAATATTAACTCAGTTAATATTCCTTTATATAAAGAATCAAATACTTTATATGATGTTTCAACATATCTAACCCATGGTAAACTTTTAACCGCTGGAAAAGACGATGCAATTTTGATAGATATGGTAAACAAAGTATTTCCTTCAAATTCTATATTTGTTTTTCCATTATCTATTTACTAGATATTTAATAGACTATTAATACAAAAAAATCACTTAAAATTGAATAACTAGGCCACTATTTTTGGCTAGCTTATTCTAACAATAAAGATTGAGCTTACTGGTTTCTTTTTACTTTGGTATATGCTTCCAAATAAGTCTGGAGTACTAAATTTAGTTTTCCAGGCTTGTCAAGAAATGGGGTAATGCTGTTCATGATTTTAAAAAACATGACAAAAGTTGTATTTTACTATTCATTACGTTTACGTTGCAACCCTAAAAGTAATGTTATTGAGGTTGATTTAAACAATTCTTGTTTAAAATATTTTTCTGATAACTGAAAAAAATTTGTTCTTATAATTAAAACAATAATATTTCTTGGTTGGGAGATGTAACTTCATACAGCTTTTAAAAAAATTTGAGTTGAGGCTGGTGATCAAATATTAGCTAATCATCTTTTTTCAAGTCCAAAAAATGCAACCTTTATATCAAAAACTACCCAAAACTAACTTATTGATTCTTGTGGGAAAACAATTTAGGTAGCTTTAAAAAAAAATGTTAAGCATTCAAATTTTATTTTCAAATTCTTTGTAATGAAGCAGTTGACTGTTCAATTACTGAACAAATGTCACTTTTTTTAAGATATGTAAATTCAAATAATGAGATTTATGTGAATTTCCTACCATTTATTTGTTGCAAGACTAGTACATCTGGTCTTAGTCTAAACTCTAAACTTACTAAAATTACTTACTAAAGTTACTTAATACATTTCAAGAGACTTTTTAGACTTGATATTCAAACTTGCAGAGGCCAAGGGTATGATAGTACAGGATTTATGGGAGGTGAATATAAAGGAGTTGCTTCTTGAATAAAAGTTCTTAATCATAATTCTGTTTTTGTTCATTGTACATGCCATAAACTTAGTTTAGTTGTAGTAGCTATCGCTTTTAGTTTGGCTTTTGGTTTTAGTCTTGATATTCAAGAAGTGAAACCTAGATTGTGTACTTTTAAGGTTTACCAGTATAATTATCCAACAAATTCAGTTTGTGACTATTTTAAACAGCATTACTTCTTCATTAATTGAACATTTTATTAATGAGCTTGGTAAAAGGTTTCCAGAAAACTGTATGTTTTATTATAAAGGTTTAGCAGCAGTTTCTTTAACTGTACTGTTCAAAATACAAGTTAAGAAACCATGGAAATCTGATTTTTATAAATTTTTAAATTTCGATTCATCTGAATATGCCTCATTTTACTTCAATACATGCTGAGTTATATTTATGGGAATTA